ATTTGGCTACACTTTTCATACCTAAATCAGCTATAAAAACACTGAACTAAACCAAATGAGATTTTGAATTCATTACTTTATATTATGGTTGTCTCATAATATCTATAATCAAATATTTGGGTTCATTTTTTCATTATGGTCTTTCAGAATCCGTTCTTCAACAAAAATTGGAATGCAATTGAAATATGGGACATAGTTTCATTTCCATAAGTTACCAATAACATTTGTTAGGTTTCAGTGGCAGTTTTTCTTAGTTAATTGTAAAATTATATGCATCTGCATTGATCTAGATTTTCATTTATAATGAAATCTGACAAATTATATATATATTTATAAAAAACACTTCATTAAATCTAGTAGTCAAATTTACTCTAATCTATTTAATTTTCCTAACACTTAAAGGTAGACTATAATTCCATAGGCTCCTTCATATACAACCTGTATAAGAATAATAATGACAGTCTTGTACTTTTTAGTTAAATCTCATAAGTAAAACTCTTGACATTTTGAACAATTGATTATGTGATTTGAATTTGTAGCTAATCCAGACAGTTATTTGACATACTCAGTAAAAATTTGAAAATGTACTTATTATTATCATGAATAATATTTATCAAAAAAAAAAGAATTGATGTATAGTAAAATTCATTTATACAAATTGTTTAGGAACCTAGAGATTCAAATCATTATACCCAAATTTTTTTAAAAACTTGATTTTTTTTTTTAATTAAACAAATATTTTTTATTAAGCATATATAATTCAATAGTATTAGGTAATTGCATAAGTATTAAAACATCATAATGTATTTTATTTTAATCTATTAATGTTTACTATTTCTATTAAATAATAATCTATCATTTTTTTTTTTTTACTTGGAAAAATAAATTTTTCAATATTTTATATATCACTGTTTACTATAATAGGTGATACTTTAAATACAATTTCTTAGACTTGTTCGGTTTCAGCCTCATTAATTTAAAATAGATTTGATAATTTATACTTAATTTCAAAATATCTTGTTTATAACAATAAACATTATTACTAAAACTGACCAAATTGTATGCTCATGAGATATTAAGCCAACTGTATACATTGCTAGGAATCATATAAAGAATTCTAATAAGAGGATTTGACTGTATATTGTCCTTTTATCATACATTTATATAATTTTATCATCATTATCGAACAACTTTATTTTTTTAAATTATAAGATCAAAGAAAATTATTAGTCTTCAGACACTGACATATCTTAAACAGTATTCAAGAAACAAAATTATCAATTCAATCAAAACAAAATAAAACAATCCAGGTACAATTCAACCTTTATTAAATTGTTGTACCAACATCATTTTTTACTAATACCAATAACATTTGACTTATAGTAAATTGGGTGAGTAATCACACCATGGGCTAATGGAACCTTAGCGTCAATGTTTACCAGTTTACGCCTGATCTTCCCTATCTTAAAAGGTGGATTCTGAGAAACCTGGGATCTAACCTAACACTTCACCCAAGCTCTATTGGTCCATGAATGTTTCAGACACTATCTCTATCAGATGGAATTAGTACCTGATTCGGAGTGCCTCTACTGCCATCATCCGCAGGACACTGCCGAGTACACTGTTTTTCTTTGTCCCTACTGGAAACCTACCCGACAGGCTATGAAAGCTTTTGTAGTTAGCAGGAGCATTTCCCTAAGATCTGCTTTGTCGATCTGTTATCCAGGGAATGAAAACACCAGCAGTTAATCTCTGTATTCTACCAATTGGTGGAGTGCATTCTTTACCACAAGGGAGAGGATTTATTACTTTTAATTATTATTTTTTAATTCACGCCCATTATTATCATACAATTATTTTTCCATATAATCAAGTTATTAATATGAATACTATGAATCAATTTTTATATTGTGAAAAGTAGTTAATACATGAAGTTATGCAAATTATGAATTAGGTGGACTTATTTCATTTTTATTTTAAAATATCAAAAATATATGATATATGTTTAATGTGTCTAATTTTTCTAATTTTTTAATGTTAACTATTTTGTATTATTATACTTTATTGTAAAATATTTAGAAATTTAATACTTATTCTAATTTGATTGTACCTAATTGTTTTCACTTTAAAATTACTATATTAGTATATAGTATTACTAATTTTAATTGGTTTCAACTTAAGCATTATTATTAACTAGAAAATATTAGTTATCATTTAATGATAATATAAGAGTCTATAGGTCATTAGATTTGTTTAAGTTGTCTGTGACATGGTTTACAATTTTATTCCCTGATGATGTGAGGTATAAACAGATTTATAAGAATGATTTTTGTAAAACTCTAATTATATCCAAATTGTACATTTGTGGGTTAGTTGCCTTCTGCATACTGTACAATTAGGAGTTTTTAATGCTGTAGTCTATAAAAATAAAATTAGTTATAATAATAGTTTCATTTTAGAAAACATTTATATTATGCTAATTATTTTGTTATCAAAAGCAAAGAAATATGTAATTATTCACAAACAACTAATCAATAATTATTTTTATAATGTTATTGTGGAGACATAAATTAACAATAATACTATAAATACATTTTAATTTGAAATAATTAACAATTACACACTTGAACTTATAGTTGATAATATAATAAGTTTTCTATGAAGCTTAGTAGCTTGTTTGTGTTGTTCAATTGTTTAAATAGGAATACATAATACTATTGTAAAACATTAAAACAATAATTATTAAGAACATTCACAAGAATACAATATTATAAGTTCCAACTGTCTACGATTGTAGGTATCAATATCATTTGGTTGCTACAAAATAATGGAATCATATTATGTATTTTGTAATGTAAAAATACAGTACCTATGTAGGTATTATAATTTATAATAAAATTTTTCTTTGTTATCTCAGTAAACAATAATATTTACACAAAATCATTTTAATTTTATGATAGTTTTAATGTTCTTTCTTTTCAAATATACCAATTCACAATTTTTAAAAATGATTTCTTATAGGTATGTATTAAGTAAACACACCAAAATTGTTTAAATAAAAATATAACAATTATGTGTCCCAGTGTATTTTATTATTAATTAGTTTGCATTGAATAAAATTTAATAAAATTTTGTTCTTACGAAACTAATTTTTTAGTGATAAAACAAATGCGTTCTCTAAAAATCATTCAATATCAAGAATTCATCTTGCAGAAACTTAAGAAGAAAATTTTAAGTTTTTATTAGTTTAAAAAAAAAAATAAAATTACATAATTTTATCACCTTTAAGAATCCATATAACAATTCACTACATGTTTTTTTCGGCATTATTAAGAACTGAACAATTTCAAATTTTAAATGTGTCTGAACCAAAAAATGAATTTTATAATTCGCCTCATACTACACACAGAGACGGACTGAGAGTATACCAGCCCAGGTGGAGATGAAATATACCGGCCCAAAAGTACTATAATAATAACAACCTTATTGTCACAGATGTAAATATGGAGAGGGCTTAAGGGTGTTTAGCTCCCTAAAGTTATTAAAAAAAAAACATGAGTGGTCCCTAAATTTTTGTTTACTTCAACATTGTAACCTCACTTAAGTCTGTTTAGTAATATTCTTAGCCCCCTTTATTTTAAGCCATATGTATGTCTTTGTTTATTAAATTATTGTATGCAATATAATATTAATTCCTTGAGGAAAATAAATCAGTGTTGATGAAAAAAAAAAAAATGTAAACCATTTATTATTGATCAACTTGATAAAACTTAACAAAATATAATATTAGTTTAGGACAACGTTTTATACATTAAAATCGAGCTGTTTTTAAGAGTTTGGAATAAAAAGAATATATTTATTTTAAATATTATAATATAAAAAGTAATATTAATACTACATAATATTATATAGTAACCATATAATAGGTATCAATAACTATATTTTAACATCATTGACTATATTATACATTCAATGATAATATTTTAAATGTTTTTACAAAAATAAATATCAGAGCAAGTTATCGAAATTTGCAGTCCATAATCGAAAATAACAAAAATAACTACTATTGTAGTGTAAGTACAAAATATATACAAATAAACATATGGCTATAACAGTAGACAAAATAAATTATCTAAATATTTTTGTCTCAAAATAAGAACAGTTGGAAAAAAAATTTGGTTTTATACGAGTATGATTTATAATTTTTAATTATTTCATTTTAAAAAACAAAGGTATGTTATATTATTATTGATATATTATAAAATAAGTCATATGAAATAAAAGTACATTATATCATGCATAAATATAACAATAACATATTTGTATTAAATTCAAAAAAAAAAAAAAAATGTTTTAATTAAAAAGAAAATAAATGATATATACATATATTATGGATATTATAAATGGAGTGTAAAAAAATATTTAGGTACCTATAAAAATATGTATTTATTTAAAAACGTATATAATATATTACAGCGAAATTAACATTCGATTATGGACTGCAGATTTTAATAACTTGCTACGTTAATTTTTTTTTTTTATTCGGTTTTTTCCACTTACTTTTTTTTCTCATTTTTTCATTTTTAAGATACTTTACAACTTCAGTTATTTCATTGTATTTTAATAGTTGTCTCTCTACTGACATAATTATTAATGCTTCCAAGTTTTCTTGACATAAACTAGAATAAAGACTAATTTTATAATTTTAAGTTTGCTAAGAATTCTCTGGCAGTTAATGAAGTTACAGATAATGTTAAGAAATATTTATATTTATAAATATTTATAAATTACTATATGCAGTAACATGCATGATTAGAGAATATAATAATTTATAGACACAAATTAAATAGCTCTGCTTACAATGAACTTCAATAAATTCAGATAATTTGCATTTATTTGTATTGCCTGAAATCAATGAATAAATTAAATGTAAATAAATTTAATTCAACGAGCAAAAAATCTAAATTAATTGAAATATAATTTATATAAAACATCAGAAACCTTTTTTTCTCCATCACTATCTTCTGACTCTTCTGTTGGCGATTCACCACTAGACTTCTTACTGTTGGTAATATGTTTTGTACTGTGTTAGAATATATAGTTAGTTTTTTCCACAAATGATGTCAAATTATGATAAATTTTAGTAAAATTTTGTAACTCAATTTTTAAATATTCTTTTTAATATTAATTAGGTCAACTAAATATGTTAAAGCATCATCTGGCATATTTTCAACAAGATTAAAATTCTTTGGACAGCTATTAAATTCCTATTATTTGAAAACATTTGATTTAGACTACTTAATATTTGATCGATTAATATTTTATAATATGTTTCTTCCTATTCTTTCTACTTTGAATTTTTCCTTTAGATTAGTTAGAACTTGGTCTTCACATACTTCATTGTATACATTTTCCCCTACATACTCTAGATGTTGGTAGTTGTCCTTCAACAATTATATTTCCGAGAAGGTGTAAATTTGATAGTTGTCTATTTATTTCTTGAAAATAAATAAGCTTTATCGTGAACATTTTCAAAATTTTTTCTATTTTTGACATTTCTGATATAGACTCAATCATATTCCATGCAGTTAATAAATCTAAACATTTTGTTTGGAGATATCTTGAAGTTTGACTAAAAATTTTAAAAATACTATTAAATATATAAGCAGTAAGTATAATTTTAAAACAATATAATTTTTCCAATAAAGATGAAGCCTTTAAATAAATTTGAACATCAAATTTTGGAGAGTTGATAACAAAATGGACCGCACAAAGGACTGTTGAAAATAAAGGGTCATCACCATTGAATACCCAAAAAAGTGATTTTTATCCTGACCACCATTTAGTACTGTTATCTCCAATTTTTTGAAATTTTTTCATTTTATTTGTTCTAGTACTGGTGTTATTTTGTTGAATTCAAACTTTCATTCGCTTATATGATTCTCTAAAAGAGTTGACAACCTGTTTAAAAAGTCAAATAAATTTTTAGCATTAATATTTTGACATATATCACAAATGCACTAGTTACATGGCTATAAAACCAAATGTATATACTTTTTGAAATTTGTTCTTTTATTCTAGACTGTAAACCTGAAAATCTCCCTCTTATATGCAATGCACCATCAAAAGCTTCTCCAACCACATTGGTAAAACGTATATTATGTTTCAGAAAAAGACTTTCCAAGATATCATAATACCTTTGACCTGAAGAATCTGTTACTTTTAATAGTGCAAATAAACGTTGAGAAACTTTTCCATTAAATGTGTACAGAATACAGATAGTTACTTGATCAAAAACACCAACATCCTGTGTGCTATCAATTTGAATTTCTGATCGCTTATTTCTTGTTTTATTTTATCTGTAATGGATTTAGGATTGAGATTATTATTTTGTTGATTGTGGTTTTTGATAAAAATGTTACAAGTGAACCTCGACCGTTTGAGTGCTTTGGATTTTTTACTTGATTGTTCTATCGACACTTACTATTTTTTATAGATGAACTTAGATGTTTCTGTAAAATGGCATATATTTTTGATGTAATCAGAATTTATTCGAGAAAGTTTCTTCTATTTGTACTAATATCACTAGGTCTATCTAAATGATAAAAGCTTTCAGAATTTCTAGATCCTCTAAATGGTAAACTCTTTCGTCCAATAAATTTGATAATTTTCAAATATTTGTTTCATAACATGAATATTTTCTTCAGTTTTAGTTTCATTTAGTCTCATTAGATCTCTATTTATTCTAAATTCAATAAAATGTTCTATAGAAGCATGTATGTAGTTATTTTACGGCATTATTATGTGCTACACTATCTTCATGTTTTTTTTTATAGCAGTATGTATATGAATAAATTTTATCACGAAGGAAAGGGAGATTGAAATGAAGAAAATATTATACAGATGGGACAGTGGACAGCCAAAATTTCTGTATTTTCAACATGTAGTGATAGCTAATCACTTTCTAGAGACTAATGATAGGTAACCCTTTTGTCACCAGCCAATATTTGCAAAGTCATCTTAATAACATGGAAATATTGTATTCCAAATGGAAAATAAAAGTAACAATGACAAATCTTCACATACTACCTATAGGTACTATTTAGGTAAAGAATAGTCTACTCATATCTAAACATAGGTATATTTTATCTAATTAGAATATAAGCGAACAAGATGCTAACCAAAAATAACTTATGGCCAATGCTATAGATCAATAAAAAAAAAAATTGAAAGATTTACACAAACTTTTTGAAAAATCTCAAAAATGTAAAATGCGTACAAATAGCTCAAAAATCGTAATAATATTTTACCATGTCTACATAAATTCTGTGGAAAATTCTTAACCGAAATACCTACAACAAAAAAGTAAAAATTGTCCTGGGATAATAGAGACGGGTGTAGCCATTGTTATAGGTCATTTAATGTACCAAAGATCGACCATTGCTAACGAAAGAACGATTCTGAGTGGAGTTCAGTATTGATAGAGTTGCTTTGTCAACAATATATATATGCCATATTATTATGGTAAAATAATTACATATTATTCATTATATATTTTCTCTAATAATATTTGTTTAATATTGTACTTATTTTCCCGTTTTTCCCATTTATTGGGAAAATTTATAGGAAAATCAAAAAATTACTTTTTAAAGTACCTTCCCCATATTGAAAAATATTTTCATTTTTTAAGTTGGTAGAGTATTAAAAAGTCAGAGATCAACCAAAATTAGAATTTTATGAATTGTAGATTGCATTGCTTACCGTTTTTTTTCTAACTAAAGATCGACATTTTTTTTTTTTTTGAAAAATTGAAAAACTTTTATTTAGCCGTGTATTAATTAATAGGGGATAGACCGTCTTAATGTTTACTCTGATGCACTGCCTCTGCTATACTGGTACTATTGGAGCGATCTGTAGTTGTTCACCCAAACATTTTCGGCTGAACAAAACGGTTCCAATAAACTCCCGTGTATAAAAACGTGGACATTTATTTAATCAAATATTATAGTCCCTTTTTTTGTGTGAATAACTTTTCTTGGTAATTTTACTGGTAATGATAGCACTTTTTCTGAAAGGAAATCTGACTGGGGAGGTCCTTTAAAGAAATCTTATTTTGATTTTCCCAATAAATGGGAAACACTTAGGAAAAATGGGAAAATAGGTACAATATTAAACAAATATTATTAAAGAAAATATATAATGAATAATATTAATATGTAATTATTTAACTATAATAATATTAAATGTATCTATATATTGATGACAAAGCAACACTATCAACTAAACTCCACTCAGAATCGTTCTTTTGTTAGCAATAGCTTATCGTTGCTTACAGTAATAGGTATATTAAATAAATTAGGTAACCTATATGTTATAACCTATAAGGCTATAACAGTGGCTGCACCAGTGTCCATTATCCTACGACAGCTTTTTTTTTTTTTTGTTGAAGGTATTTTGGTTCAAAATATTCATAGAAACCTTTTCACAGAATACTTAAATTCTGAATTTTTCTAGACGTGGTCAAATATTATGGCGATTTTAGAGGTATTAGAACGCATTTGACATTTTTGAGTTTTTTAAAAAGTGTGTGTAGATTTTCAATTTTTTTTTAATTGATTTATGTCAGTAATGCATAATCTTTTTTGATCTACGGTCCTCAAATTAATTTATTTCGATGAAGTGACCCCTCCCCCTTCCTACTAACATTATATAAGTGTACAATACATATATTTACTTAATGTATACAATAATTGTAGTCGTATTAATTAAATCGTTAATTTTAGGCAATTTTAATATTTGTTTAATTTAATTTATCCAAATTTTTTATTCCAAAACATAAACAATTAAATTACCGATATTGTTATAATTATACCTATTCAATATTTTAATAATTTAAAATTATAAAATTACATGATTTAGTAAGACCCTTGTGCTTAAATTATAAACATGATTGAATTTAAATTGGGTTTGATATTTGAGACTGCCACTCTTAAATCTGTACATTTAATCTGGAGCGATATAATACAATATTTATTTTTGAAAAACATTGAATGATTTAAATATTAAACTATTGATAATATGTTTTATAATAATAATACTAATATCCTGTATTAATAATGATACCTAAAAATTTAAAATAATAATGCAATTGAATCATGTGTCAGCAAAATGGGAGTCAGCGACATGGAAATAAACCTATTTATTGGCCAATAAATATTGCATACAAGTCCTCACTATGATCTTTTCTTAGAATAATTGATCATACAAATAAATACAATTCATAATGGATGATTTTAAAGTAGGTAATTAGGTAATTTGTACATTTAAAACTTTCTTAATTATTTATTACAAGTATAGGTACATTTTTAAGATTTTATTATTTGTCTTATTACTTATTGTGATGGTAGGTATAATTTTACAATATAGGAATAGATACCTTTGAATTTTTCATTATTATGTAATACAGTTAAAGAACATAATATGTATAGGTATTGTTATACATTTTTATCTTAAATAGTAGATCAACATTATGTTATTACTTTATCTGAAATGTGTATAGGTATATTGTACTAGTTTAATATCCAATTTATTTTAAGCATTTAATTTACTTATACTATCAAAATCAAGATAAATTAAAATAAAGTATAAATACAGCAAAATTGCGTGGAATGCTAACAATAGTTCTTGGACATAGTAAAAATAATTTCATATGCTGTCAATTTTCATGAAAAAATTATTGACATGACCTTCTGTGATTATTTTAATAAAAAATTTGCAATTGAATATTATTTTTGATATAATATGTCAAGTCAACAAGATTGATTTTTTATAAAAATAAATAGACAGAGGTTAGTACCTTTACCTACTATCCTGCAATTTATTCTTAAGAGACCCTCAAAATTTTGTTTTGTTTTAATGCCCCTAGAGTTCAATGATATTTTAATATTGTTTGACATATTACATTACAAATAGGAAAAAACTATGTATAATAATACATACCAACTTGGATTAGCAAAATTTCACAAAGAAAACTAACAAATTTCTAAATCCTTAAAAATAATTACTTTATTGAAATTTTTACCCATTAATGATATTTTAATCGAAATTGTCATATTATGAATATAATATTTTTAAGCTTTTTAAGTTGTTACTTCTTATTTTATACATTAACAAAACTAATATTAATGATAATAATAACAGTCAAATTAAATTTATGTAACTAATGTTTGACATAAAGAAAACAAATTAACCAATTACAAATTTAGAGTATGAAAGTAGTTCAAAGTGATTAGTTACTCAAAGGTACTCACAGAACAAAAATCCAGGGGAGAGAAAACCCAAATTTCTATTAGAAATTAAAAAATTATTTTATTAATAATTGAAAATTATTATAAACCATTATTTTGCTTATGAAAAACAAAAAAAAACAAAACCATTATTAATTTACATTTGATATTTTAAACAAAACTTAAAATTTCTATGGTTTTTCCAAATTCATAAGAGGTGTCAAATAGTTTTAACAAAACAACTTTAAGTCAATTTTAATATAGAAATATTACATTATATTATCTATTAAATATAATTACATATAATTGTATTGATATATAATAATTAGATTTTCTACAATTTGTATTTTTAAATAATTGTCTAAGGTAGGTAAATGTTAACTATTGCCTATTATAGACATTACAGTAGTATAGGTTATTATAATGATTAATAAATAGGTATAAACACAATAAAAATATCCTTATTCAATGGTTATTTAACATTTATTTTATAAAAAAAATTGAGAATTTCCAACTAGACATACCAGTTTGACATACCTAAATATACCAAATTGTTTTTAACGAATATTCTTATAATAATAGTAAATAGGCAAGAAAAGATAAAAATAATAATGAAATATATTATAACCCAACCGTACAGTTTTATGAATACTAATATATATTTTCAAGACAATGTCAACTATTCATTGATTTTTAATTCTATTTTAAGTATTATAACATTTTTAACTAAATTTCACATCTATACAAATTCACAAATATGTGCACTTAAATGTTTTTCATACAAATTTAGATATCAATATTATTTATTTATACATCTATATTAAGTATTAACCTTTTGAGTCATACATTAATTTGTTTTTTGAAAATACAGAATTTTGTATTGCAATTATATTGGTACTTCCTTACAATTATTTTCTAAAAAAAATGTACAACAAATATTTTTGTTTATATTTTTTTTTCTTTGAAAAACGTAAAAAAGTGGTTATAATATTGTAAACTACTATAGTCTATGTTAAAATTTGCAAAAAATAAATTACAGTAATTTACAAAACAAGAAGAAAAATCCAAATAAATTTTCTTGGTTCAATTTAATTATGACAAACATACATCTCATATATCATGTTATATTAGTGAAACCATCAATCAAGTAACTAGTAGAAACTTTTATAAGTAACATAATATAATAATTTAAATGATTCAATTATGTTTTTGAGGTATTTACTTACATATAAATTTAATAAAATGAGTAATACAATATACTTATTAGTTATTAGTAATAAAATATTACAAATTAAAGGAAAAGTATGGCACTTGCAGAAGTAGAATGTTTCCATGTTTAATTATTATTTAACAAAAGATGCTATAACAGTAACACAAATGGTAGTATCATTTACAACAGCACTAATACAATAATTTGATGGTATTTTTAGAAAAATACCACCATGGTGAAATGAAAGAAAAATAATAAAAATGTTGTTTTTAAATATAACAACCATAACTCAAAGGGTTTCAATTAAACATTATATATAATGTCCATAGATATGAAAATGGTTTCCTGAACATTTTTTGAATTGATTCATTATATTATTTTATTAATTTGTTAAAGTGAAATCAAATATAGATACTGTACCATTTAATTATAAAGTAAGTTTGTGATGGAATATAAAAAAAGAAATTGAGATCTGACTTTTTAAAACAAGTAGTTAATAATAATTGACATGTGGCCATGCAACCAAAAAACAAAAACGAATAAAGTTAATGTTTAAATGCTTAAAACAGTTTTAATTTTTTTAAACTAACTGGTATGAGCGTCTTAATTTTTAAAAGGTTTGATGTTTTTAAACTATATTAAATCGTTTAAATGACAATAATTAGTTTTTGTTTCAAAATTATTTTATTTTAAATTTATTTCAAACCATTTTAAGACCATCATATATACATAATAAACACAAACTAAACATAAAATAGTATAATAGGTAATAAATAGGAAAAACATAATTATAACCTATAATTAATAATAAATTGGTCAACTACATTAATAGGTAAAGTATAAAAAGTACACATATAATAAATAATATATCAGTTGAGAAAATGTCAATATAGTAAATATAGAGTAGGTAATATTAGAAAATAAATTGTATATGGAATACAAAATATTTAGAGTAGGGTACACAGTAAAGGTTAATAATTATCCTTCAGTTCGAGGAAGACATAACAAAGTTTATACCTGGCAACAAACTTAAAGTAATCACTGATGAGATAGTGGAGTTATGGGCACCGACCGCCATAATGTTCCTGATAGAGATATAAGTACCAGACACCAGAGCGATTAAAGCCATCAAAATAATGATGATGTCTTTGAATACGATCCAACGACTCATGCCCTTACTCTTACTGGTCGACTCGCCATTGACCCTTCTCCGCGGTCGTTCTGTGGTAACACCATGGTCATCATCATCCTCAATACTATAGTAGTCCCCGTCACAATTGAAATCATCTTCTTCCGAATCGTCGTCATCAGCTTCTGAACTTTGATGCCAATACACAGCCAAATGAATGACGGCGGGGCACAAAAGGCCCAGAATGGAGTAAAACACTGCTCCGATCAGAGAGATAAATGGTGCTAAGTCGGGTACAAGGGTAGCTATAAAGACTTCAGTAAATATAAAAATATAAGCATAGTTATTAATATATCAATTAAAAAAATATATATATCAAATTTGACTGTACCAGTGCCCAAAATCATCAAAATTCGCATGGTGTAATATGCTCCAGTCATAGGTTCTTCAGATCGTAATTTTTCAAGTAGTCGCTCTTCACTAATGGTCTCGGAAGTCCTGGGGTTCGCGTTAGTGCTGCTGCCGGCAAAAGTACTGGTTGTAGCTACGTTTGAAGTCTGCTCTGTGGCGTTATTGGCCTTCTGTTTTCGCTGGCGTAACCACGGTTCCAGATGGCTCCAAACGATTTCACTTGGAACGCAAAATTGCAGACCGTAGGAGAACAGTATGGATAATGCTACCATGACTTTTACGATCTCGGCAAATCTATACAATATTATGGTCGTCAAAAGTGTATAATATTACTTGAAGTCAGATATACGAGTTTAATTACACGTCTCTGACTAATATTATTATTATTGTTATATAAGTACAGGTCATTAGGAAGGTTCAATGTGATTGAACCAGCGGTGGAGTTGCCGAAACGCAAATATCCTAGAAAGCCGATAATAGAGTACATGGATATGATAAGCGTCATGGCGAAGTTTAACACTCCACAGGGCCGGGCCGTAAGGAACTTTTGTGGCTGACTCATCGAGTTCTCGATCGGAAGGACCTATATAAAATATACAGAATATTCAAAATTAATATTAACGTACCTAATGGATATATATCCACTAAGTTATATATTTTCTTTAGTAATGTTTGTTTAACATTGAATCTATTTTCCTACGTTTTTCCTTTTATTATTAAAACAATGGAGAAAATCAAAAAATGATATCCCGGTATACATTACCTATAAAAAAAATGTCCACATAAAAATAAAAAATAAAAATCCTAGGATAATAAGAAGGGTGCAGCCACTGTTATAGGTAATTTAATGTATACTTGTAAGCAACGATAAACCATTGCTAACGAAAAAACAATTCTGAGCGAAGTTCGGTTGATAGTGATGCTTTGTCAAAAATATATTATATGTCATATTATGGTAAAATAATTAAATAGTTATTATATATTTTCTCTTACACTTGTTTAATGTACCAATTTTCCTGGTTTTACTATGTTTTTCCTGATTTTCCCAGGTATTTTCCAGGTTGTTCACATTTGTTGAGAAAATCATAAAATGGCCTCTCTAAAGTACCTTTCTAGTCAGCTTTCTTTTTAGAAAAAGTGCTATCATTATAAATTAGAACAAAATTTCTGGTAGAAAAGTTGTTCATAGGAAAAAAGAAGGTGATCATTTTTTTTTACCAATACATAGGTATTTCGTATATTTTCCCGTTTTTTATCGGTCTTTCACATTTGTTAGAAAAATCAAAAAATGACTACCTTAAAGTATCTCCTCACATCGATTTACTTTCAGAAAAGGTACTATGTTTAAAATCAGAGCAAGATCTCTGGTAATATTTGTAATTTTTATTCCACCACACAGAATCTAAAATCATTGAAAGGTAAAAATCTATACACCTGATATACTCACAGTACCGATGCCTTCCATAGCGAAGAGAACCGTGGCGAAGAATAGCGGCAGGTGCGTGACAGGAGCCATCCATGGACGGGACTGGATATCCGGCAGTGGAACAGGCGCTTTGCCAGTGAATGGACTAACGCCGATCAGCACCCACATTATGGTGCAACCCAAACCGATGATTATAAAAGTCATGGCCATAGCTGAGAATGGGACCAATAGACGGAAAGTGCGAATGATGCCAAGTGGCACCAGTGGTACTATGAGAGCCAGCACCCAAACGCGTAATGTAAAATGCCATTCAGGTGGTGTATGCGTTTCAGCCACCTGTAATAATATGGTTGAGTCATCACAGAGTTAAAATGTTTTTAATTATTTTATATATAGTTTTATAACAGTGGCATAGTCGTGGGGAGTTTTAGGTGTTGTAACCCTTCCATTGTTAATTTTTTAGCTATAGGTAAAATTAAGAATGTTGTAGACCCCTATTGATAAATGCGGGCTACGCTTTATGAGGCTAAACAGCTAATTGAAATGAAGAATGATTTAAGCAAATAACTATTTTTAATGGCTGCAGTTCTTTGCAAGAGTTTTTGATAAAAAACAGAACCTATCCATGATAGTTTATCCTGAGATTTCAAAGGTAGCTGTAAAAAGGATTTTACAATTTTCATGGACTTTTTTTATATAAATTTTCATTTTACAGCTTTGCGACTATAAAAAAAAATACAAAAATTTCTTAGATATCGAATCTGACTTTAGGTATTCCCTCCATAACATTGAGCCAAACATAAACAATTAAAGGTCAAAGGAAAAATATTGTCTCTCTTTACATTATAATTCTTTATATTATTATATTATATACTGAAATAAATATTAAAATAGAAAAAAAAACCTCTGGGCTTCGAAGAGTTACATTAAAGGAGATGGTTGATTGCATTCAAATAACGAGAACTCTACCTCTACTTATTTTAACCACTGGACCTATGGATAAAATGATAATAAAGAATTGTATATAATATCTGTGGTTGATTTCAATATAATTACTTCTTTAAATGTTGACGCAATGAGTACTATGTACACCGAGCCACCGAAATAGTATGTACAAAACATGCCCGCATTTATAAACTCTCTTAGTTGTATAAATATGATGATTTGTTATTCAGCAATTGGATAATGTTGACGTATTGTTGAAAGACATACCGAAAAAAAAAACATTTTATAGTTAATAATTATACATAATAATGTGATGAAATGGTGTTTTAAATGTGAAAAACATTGAAGTTTGTATAACTGTGTCATTATAAAAAATGACACAATAAATAGGTAATTCAATAAACTATATTTATTTGTTGTATGCATTCCATAAAATAATTATAATAGAAGTGGAACAGTGTTAGAAGAACTAGTAGGTATATAGTTACAGCTATTCATACCCATAGTCGTAAATAAACAACTTTTAAATAGGTAAATACATACAATTTTAATATAATTTATTAATTATACAGACAATTTATTATTTTCCAAAATTCATACAAAATATAATATATTATTTATGATTGTATAGGGGAAGATATTTAATTATCACATCTAATCTATATTAATATAAGTACACCTATTTTATAATAATATGTATATATACTATATTATGTATATAATATATATAGTTATTAGGTACTTAATCAGCTTCGATAATATATTTTTTAATAAAAAAAAATGTACACTAATATAGAATATTATTGTTCATAAAAAAAAAATAATAATAATAATATTACCTAATTCCTATTAAAGAATAAATTGGAAATAATTATTAATATAATAATACCTTAACAAATGTAAAGATATGTGGAGAGTCTAACGAAAAAATATCACCACATTTTTATATTAATGCTAATGATATAGTGTCAATTAAAATATTACAAAACTTTCAGTCTACCTGACAAATGGGCCCCAGGCCCGAAATGGGCGTGGGCCAATGCTAAAGGCTGCGGCAGCTGTGTCAGCGTATCCAAGTCTCGGTCGTCTGGTGCGACGGGCAAGAGTTTGCGAGCACATTACCTGGAAATAATTAAATTAGAATCTCTTATATTAAATAGTTAATTGGTGTCAAGTAAAAACAACGTCTATGTATTTTTTAAAAAACTATGGGTTAAAAATTATTAAATAAAATAAATTAAATTGAATTATTAAAAATTATGGAAACAAATCAAAATATTTATTAGGTAGGTCTTATTTAGTGGTGACTGGTGAATGGTGATGTTGGAATGATTTAATGTTTGCTATTAATTTTTAATTATCAATAAATAAATAAATTATAATGGCTTTATGAAAGATAAATCATAATTTATATTCGAATAGGTGATACATACAAAAAATAAATATACAGTGGAACCTCGATAACTCCGAACCTTTATAAGTCGAATTTTCGATAACTCGAAGGAATACCTTGGCTTCTGGCTTCCAATATATGATATGTGTGATAAATTTTCTCGATAATTCGAATTTCGCTAACTCGAATTTCTCGATAAGTCGAAGTAATTTTAGTTGAATTTTAGCTTATAACTCGAATTTATATAATAAAATATAATTTGTACAATTACCTATCTTGATAACTCGAAGGTCAAATAACCAAGTACATATGTATATTATTATAAATAACGAAAATCGTAATCGAAAACCGATTACTATTATCAATCTTATCATTACCTATACTACTTAAAAGGAACAGTTATAAATTCAACGATATTGTATTATGTAATATGTATGTCTATACCTAATCTATATCTCCGATAAGTTACGTTTATCTACTTTATTAGTATTTATTACTGGTAAAATTATACGTCGATTAAAATACGAAATGTATACGTCGATATTTTATATAATGCTGACACAGCAAATGTTCAGTTTATTTTGTGATTTTGTCAAGTCAAGATGGAAAAACGTAGTTTAAAGTCTCTAACTGTCGGTGATAAAATAAAAATTATTAAAGAAGTAAAAAAAGGAGTGAAACGCAAAAAAGATATCGCAAATGAATTCGGTATTCCTGCTAGTACCTTATCGACCATATTGAAGGAAAAAGATAAAATTCTCAAAGCAGTTGAAGAAGCCCCCTGCTTACCACACCGGAAAAGATTTAAAGCATCAAGTTTCCCAGAAATTGAGCATACTATGACGGAATGGATAAAGCGAGTAAGAGATTATAATTTACCCATTTCAGGACCGTTAATTCAAGAAAAAGCAGCAGAGTTCGTAAAAAATGTAGGCCTCACATTTCAAGCTAGTTCGGGTTGGNGTATTATGTAATATGTATGTCTATACCTAATCTATATCTCCGATAAGTTACGTTTATCTACTTTATTAGTATTAGTATTTATTACTGGTAAAATTATACGTCGATTGAAATACGAAATGTATACGTCGATATTTTATATAATGCTGACACAGCAAATGTTCAGTTTATTCAAGACCGTTAATTCAAGAAAAAGCAGCAGAGTTCGCAAAAAATGTAGGCCTCACATTTCAAGCTAGTTCGGGTTGGCTGGAAAAATTTAAATTGAGGAACGGAATAGTAGAAAAAATCATATCAGGTGAGAGTGCCGCGGTGTCTGAAGTTGACTGTGAACATTACCGAACAAACATACTAAGTTTGTTAAAAGAATACGACTCTAAAGACATTTTCAACGCAGATGAATTCGGTCTCTTTTTCAAGTGTACACCTGACAGAACTTTGACATTCAAAGGAGATACTTGTCACGGAGGAAAAAAGAGTAAAGAACGTGTAACAGTCATGGTAGGTGCTAATATGACTGGAACAGAAAAATTAAAACTACTCGTGATTGGAAAGTCAAAACAACCAAGGTGCTTCAAGAAAATGAACGTGCAATCGTTACCGGTCACATACGCGTATAACAAAAAAGCTTGGATGTTATCCACCATTTATGAATCTTGGATATTCGACTTAGATAAAAGATTTTTCAACGATAAAATAATAGTGCTTCTCTTTGTCGATAATTGCCCTGCACATCCAAAAACACTTTTGCATGAACTAAAAGCAATACGGGTAGTATTTCTGCCACCAAACATGACATCTAAGTTACAGCCAATGGATCAAGGAATCATAAAAAACATAAAGCATCATTATCGAAGAAGTATAATGCAAAGAAATTTGCGAAAAATGGATTCCGGACTTGAGATAGATGACATAAATCTTTTAGAATCAATTGAATTACTGCATAAATCCTGGGGAGCAGTCACACAGTCTACGATTGTAAATTGTTTCCACAAAGCTGGCTTTACAAACGGTATAAATAAGTTGTTTATTTTATTTATATGTTTCTATGATTTGTAATTATGTATTACTTTTGTCTTTTAGAAATCGAAGAAGTCGAACCAGTCGAAGAAGAAACCCCAATTGAGTGGGATCGATACCAGCAGCTTGATTTTACGTCTGGTTATTGGCAAATTCTCCTTGACCCTTCTGTTCGCCAATATACTAGTTTTTTATATGATGGNTTTTTCCTGAGACTAATACAGTTGAATTCCAACATTTTGTTGGGGTGGACTCTAGTGTTATAACAACATACTATCCTACTGATAATGAAATACTGAACGATTTGAAATTCCAAGAAATGCCTAACGAGTCAAGTGGGGAGGAGTCAGTTATTGAAGACGATCGCGAATAGGCTTTACCTAAAACTACTCTTGCCCAGGCATTAGATAGTTTACAGGTTGTATGTAAGTACATTCAAGAACAACAAGAAATTGGAGACGAGATTTTTTCCGCGCTAAACGTTATTGAAAACTTTACAGATAGGTCAAACATTAAGAAACAATCAAAAATATCTGATTTCTTTAAAAAATAGTTCTTTTTTTCTACTTTAGTCTACTTTATTCATTACATTATACATACTTTTTTTAAATTTTTTATACAATATACATACCTACATAGTACATACATTATACATTTATTAGTAAATACATACATAAATAAATAATTAAAAAATTGAAGTCTGTGTTTTTAAATAAAAAAAATAATTTCAATAACTCAAATTTTTTTTTCGCCCCCATCCGATTCGAGTTATCGAGGTTCCACTGTATTTTACTATTTCACAGGCCTTTATACTAAGTGAATTTTGTTAAACTATTAAACACCTAGCGAAGAACATAAAAAAAAGTGAAGAACGAGGCTAAAACATATGCAAATTAAGATCATGTATTTATTAATTATAATTATTACTCATATAGGTATACCCATATTACTCACCTACCTATTTGTTTTTGTTATTAATTAACTTAAGAACAGAGCCGTGCTAAGTCATTAGGGACGTAAGGGCATACATTATTAAATGTCCCTTTTTAAAGTATTACCTAAGAATTATTTAGGTCTTATGAGGTTAATCCCCCTATTGTTTTTTTTAATTTTGTAAAAGTAATTAAAGTATTTTAAGTAATTCCTGAATTTTTGTCTAGGGACACATATTATGTTATTAGGGTATACTTGTGCTCTTCAATTACTAAACAATATTTATTATTACTCTAAACAAAACGTTTAAAATAAAACATACAAGTGACATAATAAGAGTGATATTCTTAATTTTATTTCGAGTTTTATAAAGAGTCCGGTACTCCATAGTTTTAAAAAATATTGGCGCAACGAGGTAAATGCTCCCATTGCCCTCTCTCCTTTATCACCATCCTATTTAATGTTATTTATCCAGGGAAAAACTACAAGGGGAGCTTATTTTGTAAAGAAGGTGTGGTGGATACTCAAATATATTTATACATCATTACCTATAAATGTTCATTGAACTACTGGTGACAAAGTCTGGAAGATGATTTGCACAGAGAAGAGAAAGAATATATTAAACCTACTCACCAGAAGGTATATGCAGTGAGTTGCCAGAAACCCGATGGCCGCCGTGCCAAACAAACCAAAAATAAGGCCGCCATTTTTGAAAGCATTCGGCATGGCCAGTATACCGGTACCAAGACTGCTCTTCATTAGGTGCAACAGGGCGCTGCTGTAACTGAAAAATCACATTGATGTGAATAGTCAGCGCATGATTAATTAATTAATTATGTACCTACTATACCATGGTTGTCATGGAATTCCATTTTTAATTTTCCTAATAATTAACTAACTAATAACATTACTGCAGTTAAACTTTTTGCTACTATAATAGATAATATTTATTTTAGATACTATATGATTATTATTCTACTATGATATGAATTATTATTTTTTCTCTGTGTGAACAACTTTCTAGTAAAAATGTCTGACTCGTTACTACAATGACAAGATGATTTGTAATTTTATTTTTAGTATTCTTAATCATTTGATTATAAGCATCAGGATACTTTTAACTGTTACATTTACACAGTAATGGTTTCTGTTATATTCTATTTTGTTTATTCAGTGAGAAATAATTGTAGTAACTTGCTATTCACTAAATACCTAATACTGATAATACTGTTAATAATTATTAACATTATTTAATAAATATATTATATTATATATATATATATATATATCAATATTTTGAAAACATTCTGGCAATTTTTCAGTTATTAGTAGCCATTTTAAATTATCCAGTTTTTTTAGGATTTTATTTTGTTTTATGTGATTAAATTTGTTTTGGCCAGTGAAAATTTAACACAATTATTATGAATTACAATTAATAAGAAAAAAAAGTTCTATGTAATTCAGTAATTTTTTTACAAGCGCTTAAAGTTTAAATTTTAATGAAAATACAAAATACGAGTATGTACTGTCCCAACAGGGGATTTTCAAGAGCAGGTGGATTTCATTAAAAAAAGTATATATTATATAAATAAATTGTAGAGTATACGAAATACGTAAAAAGTTTGACCTAAGTGGAGGCCATCGCTTTGTAGCCCACTCTCCCTTATATTTGCCAATTTGTTTGGTGCATTGCACTTCAAATAAATAGTAGAGGTACGCTAAAATTCCTGAATATTTAATTGAGTTATTGCGCCCCTCCCAATTCGAGCGCTGATTAATATTTAAGTAAATAAAGATTCATGTTTGCAATTAAAATTCTCCAGCCATTCCGGGTGCCTCCCGATTTTTTTTGAATTTCCTGGCTTTCATTTCGGGCTTTGAGACGCCATGGCAACCATGTACACGAGATAATAATGAAATGTCTATATTCGCACGTGGTCGTATTCGACTGTTCCCGGGTCACAGATGAAGCGGTCGGTGGCCATGTTTGCTCACCCTCCTGGCGTTGCGGCTCGCATCCAACAGCGCACTCGCGATTATTGACGTTTTCCGTAGCCGGGACGACCACCGTTGTCGGGGCAACGCCCTCGCCATCTGCGTCTTCGCTATTTTCTATCGAATTCATAACGCCGCTGCCGTATCGTGTATTACGAAATTATTATGCCGGTGTCGTAGCCGTCGCCGTTGTTTTCGTTTATAGCAACTCGACACCACGGCGCATGACAGGAGAACGCTAAACATTAACAATAATATTCGTTATTGTCATTATTATTTTTATTATTATTATTATTGTTACTCCGGGTTATGTAACGTACTCGGATATGTTATTACTAAAAACCTTTGTCCAGACTCTCGCGTAGGAAATCTCCGTAAAAATCCTATAGCGGACTATGCTTTCGATCTCGAAATCCGGCTGTATAAAAAATTATTTTAACTAATTAATTAAAAATAATTACCGGGCTAAATTTGTCGACTTATTATTAATAAATCAAATTATCAGCGTGACAAGAAGGAGAACTTGCGCCACACTGTGTCGATTTTGGTTTTTGTTCAATGTATCATGATTAATAATAATAGAAAAAAAAAAATTATTGTTCTAAAATCCGATAGTTTCGTAGTTTTTTAAATTCAAATGACTATATTCATAATACTGATGTCAAAAAACTATATCAAACGTTGCGTAATGCGAGTTCTTTTTGTCTTTTGGCGAAAATTCGGTTTATTAACCAAGTCCATTACCCGAGTAGTTTTTATCCGCGCGAAATGCAGTTTTTCGTAAATATTTTTGATAATTTTACAATTAATCAAGATATTCTTTCGAAAATTACACGGGACTACACATATGCAATATATTTGAACATTTTAGAGTTGATTAAGAGTCGAAAAAATTGCCTATACGCAATTCCTTAAATCCGGGAAGTAGCACGTCACACGCACATCAAAATTTAAGGGAGTCGCATACAGACAATTATCACGAAATGTTAGTAACAAAATGAAAATTTATCGAATTATTCAAATAAATGTATACGAGATGTCTCGTATCATATTATCACACGTAATCTTGTGTAACCATGACATTTATTCAAAAACATGTTCACGCAAAAACCAGAAATAAGTACCTTTCAAGTGATTTTAAAGTTAAAACACTAATCTATATATGTAAAATCCAAAAACCATTGACTAACTGATCGCTGTATCTCAAAAACTACATAACGTATACACTTGAAATTTGGAATAATGGTTCCTCTAATACTTTCACCGTGCGATAAGAAAGGATTTTTGAAAATTCAACCCCTAAGGAGGTAAAATTGGGGTCTTTAGGTATATTTGGTACGAATATTTAATTGTTTATTTATTAATTTTTGTTTTTTCAATGGTTACATTGGTGTTACAGAAAAGAAAACTATTACAATTATTATTACTATTATATGCACTATTAAAATTTTACATTTAGGTGGACTATGCACTTTCCATCTATTTGTGTTCATTCAATTCTGACACGGCTAAAACCAATAATATGGGTAAAATAATAATAATACAAATTGGCACGGGCAATACCGGGTGCGGGACAGTTAGTTTATAATATATAATATATATGTTAAAAGACATTATTTTTGAGTTAATGTCACAATCTCACATTATGCGTTTTGTTGTGCGTATATACAAAATAGCCGATTTTAACGAACCCATTATTTTAAGTTTTTTTTTTTTTGCTAATCGATATTTCATTAAACGCTTCGACTACCTATATAGGCTATAGTTCAATTTTTACTCGTCTCGTATTGGTTAGATTAACGTTTTGTTTTCATACGATAATTAAATTCGATATTTTTTCCTCTTCAATTCATTTTCTGAAGACTGATAAAATAATAAGTTTGCGTAACCAGGGTAAATAGAAAAAAAAAAAAAATTAAGAATTCAAAACGTTGAACATTTTGTTTGAAACTAATTAAAACGTATTCAAGCATCGTTACTATAATACTATTGTAATTTATAGTGAAAATAAAATGAAAGATAATAATTTAATTTCAAACAGATAGTTATTGTTAGATATAGTTGATAATACTGGATTATTGGAGTTTTGAAAATATTGTATAGCTATGGTTTTCTAACATTGGTACTAATTTGACGATCAACATGAAACTATAATAAAATAATATAAGAGGACGCTATACCCGCATGTGCTGTCTCACTGTCTCCAACTAACGGACAATAAGGCAAAGTCTACTTCACGCAGTCTTCGTAGAACTCGCTTAATTTTGGTTTTAGAGTAAAAGCATCTATTATAAAATCAAAAGAGGACAATATTCCGAAGGGCAAGACGATACGTTTTTCCTATTATTATAATTACTATTTCGGATATAACGTTAAATACGTCGTTTAGAAATACAAATTAATGTATCGTTTTATCTGTAATATTTAAAAAGAAAAAATGGCTCGTCATTATTAAATGTTTTCAATAAATACCAATTTCCAAATATAGGTATGACAACAATATTTTCGAAAATGAAAAAAGAACAAATTACGCACATAAGGTACTTCTCGTAACTCGATTTAAATTCCTCGTGCATGTTGAAATTAATTTAATTCGTTCAGTAATTTTTATCAGATTCTACAGAAATATTTTAAATATTTACATAAAATCTGAACACTCGACGCAGATAACCGCATCACGCAATAGACACACTTTTGGACCGAAGTAAAATACGTGTCACGAAATTTTAGGTAGGTAGGTATTTATAAGCATTTTTCAAATGTTCAAGAATGGCCTACTTGGCTTAGAGTGGGTATTTCAACTTAATTACGAAGGCAATAATTATTATTTAAAATATTCGTAATTTGTTTTAGTAATTTTCACTATAGAATAGTTTAGACAATCGTTACAACCACCTACCAAGAAGTAAGTTAATATTATCGTTTTTACGCATTAATGAATAACAAACAGTAGAATTATATTTTTGAATATTTCAAATGATAATTTATAATAAAGTCGAATAATAATTATTATTCGTTATTCTAAATTCTAATGTTTGCAGACATTAGAACTATAGACGTCGAACGTTTGCTGGATAATTTCAAATTTATGTCGAACATTTTGGGAATATTTATTTTTTCAAATAAAATTAAACGTTTTATAGTTTGGAATTATGGTATTCAACTGGCTCGTTGCGTTCGTCGCTATTTGTTATCATTCATTACGCAACGCGTTTAGAATGTTTTGGTGATTACATATTTGTTAGGTAGGTACCGAAAAATCTGCATAAACCACGGTTCTATCACGACTAAACGTCAGTCCTACGATAGTGATAAAAATTATTATTGTTGTTGTTGTTTTTCTCGAAAGTATTACATTTTATTCGTCCCGTTTTCGGTATTTATACGAAATTTATATGAATAGATAAACAATTTAAAAAAAAAATCTGACTAAGCCTTACCTTATTTATAACGACGATGTTTTCTTGTCGTTTTTGCGGTTTTTCGTTCTGAAGGTTTTCCGCGTAGAGTACGGACGATGTGAGTTCAGAGAATCGAGTCGTACATCAAAACTAATACCTAAACAGAAATAACAGTGTAATAATAATATTATTATCGTGTACATCGATATCGTATTACAATACGGTAATAATTCCGATAAGCGACGTATCGTCACTGCAATTATTGAACAAAATATCGTGTTGTAATAAACCCAACCTACCTAGCTATTGTTCTGATAGGTTACCTACCGTATAGGTACATCATAATCCAAAAACATAATAATATTACACGTGCAGAAATAAAGAAAAGACTCGTCTGTATACGCGTATATGAATAACTAGAAAAGCATCGTGTTATATTAGTTGATTATACTTTGCGTTACGATTTTTTTTTATCATATTATTATTATTATTAACATCTGCAGCTGACAAAGAATCCATACACACACACATACTCGCGCGTACACGCACATGCGCGGGATGATTCATGCACAACACACAAGGAAGCAAACGTACACTACCACAGTATGTCAGTGTTTCTCAAACTGGGAATAGCGACCCTCCCGGGGGTCATCAAAATATATGATTTAAATTGATACCAAAAAAATACGAATCTCAAATAAAAATCAGTAATCAACAATAACAAAGCTATTGGGGATGATTTTTAATATCGGCGGGTATTTTACACATATACGCCCCCCCACCCGAAAGAATAACGACAAGATATGAATATGTTGGGAAATCTACTTTTAACGTTCCATAATAATTTGCCGTAACGTTCAATATTTTCCCATTTGAAACGGTTATTTTTGCGATATGACTTCAGTCAGACAGCATTAACATCATTAGTCAGCTGATTAAAATAAAGACACATATAAGAAGTGTCAATATTTACGCTTTTAACTACCTATACCTAAAGATTTCATTTTCGAAACATAAATGAAGACATTTGAATCATCGTCTTCCATACTAAATAAATGAAAATAAATCAAGCATACGAAATTATTAAAGACGACCTTTTGCATACTTTGATAATAATAACTTGAAAATCGTATATTTTTATTTGTGTCGCAATTATTTTAGAGGTGTACCCAGGAGGGAAAGGGGGTTAAGTGTTATATCCCCCAATTGACTCAAAAATACACTATAATATGAGTAATGAAATATCAAAATGGATAATGGACAATTTATTATTAATTTTTCTATTACCTAATATAATTGTCTACAAAAATGTCGATATAATAATTACGCAAAAAAAAAAAAAAAAAATACACAGTTTTATACTATAAGCTATACCTTACCTTTTAAAAAACGGGTCCTATTATATTTATCATTAATATTAATATCTATAATTGTGTGCTTAGGGTGCATGGTTATGATCTGTTGGTGTCCTACGAAGTGTATCTACTTTATCGACACAATTTTAAGGAGTCAGCGTATAGGCAATTAACAATAAAAGTTATAATACTAATTATTGAAAAACAAAATGTTTACCACAGAAAAAAATAACTTGCGCTATGCTATTTGTTTTTTATTTTTTATTTTGAAAAAAAATAATTTGAATATATTTGATTTGATAGGTTGCCTATACATTTCTCCTTACTTACGACAATAATTTATTTCAATAATTAATTTTACAAATGCAATATAAAGTAAATGCAAAGTTTTAATTTCACGATGTAGTGCATATACATACTATAAAATACAAAAAGCACGCAGTTTATATTTGGTGAATATTTTCTTCTCGTATTAAATATAAGAAAAAAAAATAACTTTGATGAAAGGCTGGACAAGTTAATGATATTTTTTAAATCAGTTAAGTACAATTTTTTTTTCAATGAAATTAAAAATTAAGTCATAGATATTTTGAATACATCAATTAAGTTAAAATATATTATTGACTTGACTTGAAAAGTCATTAATTATTGATTGTCAATTGTTGGGCGTACTCATCAGTGAATTTCCTGACATTTATAATATTCAGTAGTGTTGACAGGAAGTATTTTACTGTCGAACCCGAAAAAGGTAATAATGTCAATCACAGACGAAAATGTTCCAGAAACCAAAGTGGCTATGGCTAATAAAACGATTAGCGCGTCTTTGGCGACAATGAACCAACTCATGCCCGTCTTCGAGTTAGTAGATCCGTCGACGATTGTAGCTGTTGTTCGATATTCCCTATGTGCGTCATTACTGGCTGCACTATCTTCCGGATCATCGAACACTGTGTTTATATTATTTTCACAATGATTAATATAAAAATTGCTATCGGAATTTGAATTCTCGAAATCATTGTCGTTGCTATCTTCATCGTCGTACTCCCAAAACGTGGCCAAGTGGATGATGGCTGGGCAAAACAACCCTAGCATAGAGAAAAAAACTGCCCCAAATAGCGATATGATTGGCGTTAGGCTGGGCATGATAGCAGCTATAATAACTGAAATGAAATTTAAACATAATTAAACGATACTGCATTGTTCGTCAACAATATAATATTATGATGGTATAGTACATGTGATCAAGATCATGATCGATCGCATAATGTAATATGCCCGGTCTATAAACTGTATTGGCTCCTCCTCTTTGACTATTTTGGGGGATTCCTCCTTATTGACGGGCTTAGTATTCGTTAATGAAACATCCGTAGTTGTGGTCACGGTGCTACTGACAACAGTACTCAGATTTAAAGTTGAAGATTTTCGGTTGTCAATGAAATGTTTAGCGATCCAGTTGCGCTTACGTAACCATGGCTCGACGTGTGTCCACGCTATTTCACTGGGAACGCAAAATTGCAGACCGTACGAGAAGACAATCGATAGCATGATCATGATCTTGACCGTTTCGGCAAACCTATTTTAGAAAAAATCCAAAAAATAATAACAATCATCGAACAAAAATATTTCCCATTACATGTGCATGATGTTTAACAATTTAATTAACACTGATTTATTATGGAAACTGTATTAAAAAATCGATGTTTTCATATTATATTACATGTTGATACCTATTATTATGCAATTTCGTATAAGCGTTTTTCTCTTTTAATTTGACGTTTGATATTTTTTTTTGCAACATACTCAAAAATCAGTAGCGGCTCGTGGTAGTTTGATGTGGTAGAGCGATAAAATTTATTTTTTGGGGCATTCACCCTACCTATTAATAGATACTGAATATGTGATTTCATACATCTGTTAGTGGAACATATGTATACAGTGAAATCTCTAAATACCGGACTTTCTCTGTTGCTCAAATTTTGTTCGCTATTCAGAGGTGTCTGTTGTTTAGACGGAGAAATTATATTTTTATTAAATATATTTTATTTTTAAATTAATTAAATACATCTTAAAGTTAAAACATTTTATCGACGCAATAATATGTCAACGATTGGACGGATAATATGAGACAAACGTCATGCACAGTATAATAATGTACATATATGCATAGTAATAAAAGATAAATTAATAGTGTAGACTTTTATTTAGGTATTCTACAATTATTATTAATTTAAGATAAGAATGATTAATATCATGTTAAAAAGTGTCCGTTATTTAGATTGTCCTGTGTTTAAAGGTTTTCCTATACATACATAGTGAAAAAGCTTCCGTTCTCGAAAAAACGTTCGCTATTTGGAAGTGTTCGCTTTTAAAAGTGTCCGTTAAGGAAAGTTTCACTGTATATACAATGTACATTATATACATATATGTGTATAATTATGTAGACATATGTATTTATAAATGTCCACTTTAAAGTAAAATATTAACTGATTAGATAAAATTTTGCCTGACAGAATATACCACCGAATTGTTAACAGGTCTATAATTTTAATCAAGTTTCATCATTCATCCCTTGTAAACGTGCGATGAGAAATATAACACGCGTATTATTACCCCCGTTGCTGCCTCACTAGTTATATTATAGTATAATACACATTCATTGAAAACGGCCTTTTTTTTTTTGTGTGTGCACTGCGGACTGTCGCACTATAAACGAGGAAGCGACCAACATTACCTAGTGTTGGTCGCTCGGCTTGTATTCAATTTTCACATAATTCTTGTTGAATTTGAATTGCCGAATTAAAATGAAATTTTTAAAATATTATCATTTTTCAATAAAATTTTGAATTATTTAAATTATTTTAAAAGAAATATAAACTATAATGATTACTATTTACTATAACAAGTATAAATGTAAATTTTATTTTATTTTAAAATGTACGTACTGTCGCACTGTCGCACCATAGCACGAGCCACCACTACCATAAATATATAATATATTTATAAGTAATGAATAATGATACAAACGAACACTTATTATTAGTTATTACTCTATAATGTTGTGTTTATTTTTCTTTTGACCTAGTTGCAAATTTTATAATTTATTTCCATCAGCATTTTAAGTTTAAATTAATGTTAAAATTCGTCAAAAACATGAACAATTTATTTGCAATAATTTATGATTATGTACATGATCTGTTATAAATTAAATTGTCCTTTGTATTTCCAACATAATTTCCAACTTACAACAGTGCTTTTCCTATGGTGCGAAGTATGCAAGCTTTTTAAAATGTTGTTTTTTCATTATGTGTTCTTTTTTTATATTTTACCTAAAATTATATTGCATCTAACGCTATTATTTACCAGTCCGAGCTTGCGTACATTGCACCAGGGATGTCATTAAGGGGAGGAGACCACGGTGTGTGGTTCACCTCTAAATTTTAATTTAGTCCCAACTGGCCTGCTGAATTATTCCACCATTATTTACACAATTAAAATTTAATTATATTTTTATATTGAAAATATTGCCATTTTACTGTCAATCGTGGTTATAACTTACATGGGTTAATAAACAATTATCGTTCTATAAATGAATTGAGTAAATTATAGATAAACATGTCTACAATCGTTGCTGAACTGAATCATAGATTAAATTATTAGAATCTTAGTTTATAGTAGATGCATAAACTTATGCTAAACTTAAAAATCACCGGTATTTGCTTATTTAAAATATAATACGTTTTTTTTAGTACATTTTGCTTGTACAAATTTTGTAGATATTTAATATAAATGAGAATTTATGAATAAAAATATTAATTAATAATTATTATTTCTTTTTTTTGTTGCATATTTTTGCTTTGTCATTTTCAATTTTTTTTTCATGCAATACTTATTAGTTTTCTTAGCTAAATTAATAATCAATTATTTATTATTTTTTTTAGTTTTAAAGTGATTTTACTATCAATGTTTATACGGTCCATGGTTAATGGAAAAAATTAAATGCAGGATAATATATATAAATATATCTATTATTATACGGTAAGGTTTAATTTCAAAATGGCCCGCTTAAGACCTCTCACACCCAAAAAGAAAATTAAAATGACGTTCCCGCATTGCACGTGTGTATTGTTTATGGAGTTTTTATTATTGTTACAACTCAAAACACATGGATATATTATACTTGGTAATTTATAATACCGTTAAATATAAAAACATACAGATAAAAGTGTTGAACCTTAATTATTAATATTATTGTACATACTATACGTACAAATCATTGGGCAAATTGAGTGCGATCGAACCTTTGACGGCATCACCGAAACGCATATATCCGAGGAAGCCAACAACTGAGTACAAAATCACGATGATTATCATGGCAGCGTTTAATACCCCACATGGGTTTCCCCGGAGGAAATGTTTTGGATTATGCATTGAGTTTTCGATTGGCAGGATCTAAGAGTCACAGATAACAGCTCATTTACCCTAGCACCAACTTTAAAATTTCGATTTGAAAATTATATCACGAATTAGTTATAATTTGTTTATCAAAATTCGGGATTTTTAACTCGATTTTCATACCCGACTATCGTATTTTTTTTTCCAGGTGATGGAATAAGCTTTCTTCAGGGCCCGTATAGGTCAAAAATGGACTTGTAGACTTTAAATTGGTACATGATAAGACACAATTTATTGTAATTTGTTATTTGAAATTAGGAATTTGTTACCTCGTTTTAATCCTTCAGTATTTATTTACGGGTGGTAGGGTAAGCTTATTCCAACGTCCACATAGGCCATTTATTTCCATTGGAATTATATGACGTGTTGTGTGAAAATATCAAGCAATGTTATTATGTTATAAATAATTTATGTGCCAAGATTGTACAAACCGTATATGACATCGGTTATATTAATTATATTTCCATGAGACCAGAATTAAAAATATTACGTAGGTAAATACAGTTGTATTGCAGTAATACGTAAAAACTAAAATTTTTACATTTTGTTTCCCCAGCTATGGGGGTCTATATTCACCTATATGCATAGGTTAAAAATGGACTTAAACATTTCAAACTGATATGATATTATAAAGCACAATTTGTTGTAATTTGTTTTATAAAACTTCGATTTGTTTACCTCATTTTAACGTCCTGAAACCGTATTTTTATTTCTGTTTACCATTCCAGTACTTATATAGGTAAAAACTTAAATGTAGATTTCAAAACTATATGAGGTATTAAAGCAAATATTTGTAACATTTGTTATCCAAAATTCGGATTGTAATTCAATTTTATCTGCTGGAGAAATTTACCCCAGTGCCTAAAAAAAATACGGTTTTAGGAAGTTAAAATGTTGTAAAATAATTTTGAATTCGGATTAACAAATTATTAACATATTATATTAATTCGTAACATAAATTTCAAGTTGGTATTCTAAATTCGTATGTCAGAGTAAATCGTCTGTTATGTAATTGAGTTACACACAATAGTATACGCAAAAAACAATGAAATATTATAGTAATTTTAAGAATATTATATAATATTATCTTTAATAAAATATAAAAATAAAGTTCATCGGAATTTGTCCGACGTATACTAACGATGCCGATACCCTCCATGGAAAATAGAACAGTGGTGAAGAATATAGGCATGTGTGACACAGGGGCGATCCATGGAAGCGAACCAATGTCGGGTAATGGGACGGCAGCAGCTACGGTTCTCTGGCTGGCGAACGGGCTTACTCCAATTATCATCCATGTCATGGTGCATCCCAGACCGACGAGTACACAGATCGTGGCTATGGCTGAGAAAGGAATCAAAAGCCGGAGCGTGCGTACGATGCCCAACGGAAGAATTGGAAATGCGAGGCCCAAGATCCAGATGCGGATAGACACGTGCCACTCGGGCGATATGTGCGCGTCGACCACCTGCAAACAAATTAGAATTACAGACGGAAAATCAAGTTAAAATTTAGTCGGCTGGGCTTGCAGTGTGTATACCTGTTTTATTGTCGCCGACATGAGGATAACGTATACACAGTTGCCGAAATAATACGTACAAAACAGTGTAGCGTTGACAAAGTTTCTGTATTTTGATTAGTATGGACATTGAGCAACAATGATGAGTGAAAAAATATACCGAAAATGAGAAAACACGTTTAAAATATAACTATTATGAAATATAGGCAGGCAGTTTATATATTATAATAATCCAACAACGATTCAAAAAATTTATAAGTACATGGCTAAACTAAACTTACTAAAATTATGATTACTACGCATTAATTGTTCTAAATGTTTAACCGTTTGGTATTCATAATCTGATGTACGTGTATAAAAGAAAAAAAACACGTAAACAAATCTATTTGTATTTTTTTTTCTATTTTTATGGTCTACTAAACCTATATAATACGTATAGACGATACTGATTATAACTGATATGCGTGGGTTTACTGTTAACAAATTAAGGACAGCTATAGACAATAGTGTTAATATTGTGGTAAATATGGTTATGAATGTAATGGTAAACGGTATAAGCCACTATACAAGATACATAATAGATACCTACGTGTTATTTTTTTTGTTCACGATTGATAAGTGTAATTGTAATTTATACAAATGTGTAATGACATTCGTAATATTATGACGTTTTTCTATTTTTGTAAAATTACGAGTATAATAGTAGGTACTAACTACTATAATCCAGTGGAGTAAATTTTCCAGTGCAAAAGTAGCGAACTCATATTTTTGTATCACTATACAATTTTTAAAATTTGTACAGATATAAATAAACCTATAAATTCTCAAAATTAAACTTTTGTTTAGTAGGTAAACAAATTATAATTATCGTTATATTATAATTTTAATGAGACAGTTACCGTGTGTGAAAGTGTGGCATATACGAGATAAATTATGTGAATTCGATCCACCGGCATTATTTGTCTACTACAGCTATACTTATACATATTAAATATACAATTTAATAACTAATAAAGTTTTTACTGTTAACTATACCGGTTTTTAAATTTTTCTAATTTATGATGATTGTAAAAAAAAAAAATATTGTTAGAGCTGTAAATTAATAGTTTATTAGCTAGGGATTTAAAAAGAAATTTGGACTGTTGGTGGGTTGGAAAATTAAAAATTTGAATGCATTACCAGAAATTACCAGAAATTAATGTACTTGGTAATGTATTCAGTAGTGATAAAATAATATTGGTTAGAATAATTTAATAAACATAATAAAATCTTCACACCTAGCGAACGGGGCCCAGGTACGAAACCGACGTGGACCTAGTTTGAATGCCTCGTATGCAGTGTCGGCGAACCCGAGTGCTGGCCGACGGGTACGTCGGGCCATTGTTTGTGAACACACGACCTGGAAAATAATCGTATTATTGAAACCGCATTAGATTGGGTACATAAAGGAATCAAGACATTTTCTGTTGTAAGACTGACTGCCATATAGAGATTATTTGATTACCAAACCTTTGGGACACTGACAATAACGATAACATGTAATATAATTATCGAGTACGATGATATTCAATTAATGATTTATTATTTGATTATTGTATATTATTAGAAACGTATGCTAGTCAACAATAATATAGTCTGTGAGCGATGCGAGTGCGAAATATACATTTGCGAATCCAGGAGGCGATATGGGCTAATACCTTCGCCCCGTTCATTCCCAAATACACTCTTAACTCCAATATACTCTGAGCTGTGTTTTCATCATAAATGTGTGTCTTGTATGCATTTTTAAAATCACCTTCACCCGGTTTCTTTTTTTGGGTCCACCCCTAAGACTATAAAGTATTATACAGTTAAAACTTACTAAAATGTAGATGCAATGGGTGCACAGTATTCCAACGGCAGCCATGCCGAACAGTCCGAAAATAAGACCACCATTTTTGAATGCGTTGGGCATCGCGAGGATACCGGATCCAACACTACTTTTCATCAAGTGCAACAGGGCACCGATTGTACTGGAGAAAAAAGGACCGATAACGCAAGTTGAATAGAAATATTCAGAATCCAAACTGATTCAAATATTTTATATTAAAGCTGGGCAAATTAATCTATCTTTTTAGCTACTTTTCACAAAAAAAAAAAAAAAAAAAAATAAAAATAAAAATTAATTTGAGTAACTAAGTTAAGTTGTATATTTTTAATAAAATAATAAAATAAGTAAATTAAAACTTAAAAGTTACTTTTTAAAATTACCCTCATCTAAACTTATAGACGAATTTTGTAATCTAGTATTTTATACTTTTATAGTTTTACTATACAAGATGCGTGTGCCATAAATTATATAATAATAGTCTTGTGTTATAATTATGATGCATTCACGCAAAAATGTAAAATACTTAATTTTAGTCGAAATATAAACACAAAAAATATAGGTACCCATTGGCACACATTTAGTCTAAAACTTGGGAGTGCTAAAATTATTTACGTATCACAGAATAGAGAATTCCCTCCACACCCCACACTTATTCGACATTTCAAAATAAATGTACATATTACTTGCACATTAAATAAACAAAATTGAAATAATGAGAACCGATTTTTAATAATAAATCTTTCATTGCCTAATAAATCACCAACAAGGGACAAATTATTTGTAGTCCTCTTCTCTTTGAGAAATATAACAAGTATAAAAAATACAAATATAACAAGTTATATTAACAGATTAGAGTTTACCTTCCTATTTTTTTAAAAACTGTTAAAAGTTGACAGGACAAAAGTAACTCATAACTGAACTTTCAACTTTAAAATATTAGTTACAACCCAAGTGCCCAACTTGGTGTAATATATATATAGTATGGAAAGACGGTGTATACGTACGTGGTTGTATTAGTTTTGTTTCGCATTCGAAAAGGGTCGTATGGTGGCAGCTGCTTTACAGCACCCTTCGGACGAGGATAACGATGAGGGGATCCACCCCTCGAAAAACTACAGTTTCCGTTGATATTAAAATCATCGCATCCTTCATATACATTCGCCCCTATTGTGTCTTCCATGCTATTGTCGTTATTGTATTTTGTTGTAATTTAACGGTGAAATTTATGCACCCGTATTCACAATAATATTTTTGAAAATTCGTTTTGAATAAGACCCTCCTCCTTAAAAAAAAAAACCCTAATAAAATAAAACGTTACACATATTATAAGTATAGAGAACTTTATTAAACATTCCATTATAATATTGATATTATATGAAAATAAAGTTCAGTCTTTGACTTAACCTATAATATTTTTGGTTTTAAGGAAGAAGAGCTTGAGTCAAGTAAAACCTAATATAGATTTAAATACAATAAGCAAATTAAATTTTGAACATTTTAACATAATGAGATAATTACGAACTGGCATAACCTAAATATAGTCATTCTAAATGGTTTAAGTAATATAAAATTTAATAACTTATCTGCCAAACAAAATTGACTTAAGATATTCTAATTTTTAGTATAACATATGTTAAAATATAAATAAATATCTATATGATCCAACACCAACATTGGAATTTCATACAATTTTTTATTGCAAGTATAATTTTTTTTTTTACATGCACTCATATTATTACGACGATTTTAATGATCGAATTTTATCAACAAATTTAATATGGTAATTTTAATATATTTTTTCCTTTAAAGTACCTACTGCTGTTCTATATTTTTGTATCATGCATTTGCGCTTGCTTTTTTGCCTTCGCTCAAACAAAAACAAACGATCGTTTACTGTAGAACCAATAAATCAATTTAAATACACTATACAATTTTACATTTGATTTAAATTTATAGGTTTACTAGAAAAAAAAATAAATACTAATCGTATATCAATAAAATAATAATATAGCAACAACACAAAACAAATTGGCATAATTATAATTTGAATCCCTCTAAAAATGCAAATCGGGTATAACTTTCGAAACAAAAGTTTCAGTAAATCTCACGGATTATTACGTAGTAATTTGTTTTCTACTACCAACATATTGCCTACGTAGTAGTTATTACTTTAATATAGATATCGATTTGAAGTGGATTATTTAAAAAAAAAAGTAGTTTGAAAACTTTTCCTAAACTCAAAAAAAAACTATTGTGTTCTCTGCTTTAATTTAAAATTCTAATTTATGTAAAAAGATAAAGCGTTATAATAATATATTTAAATTTATTCGATTTAGTCCAATATGCTTATGGTAAAAGGGGATTGGTACTTTATAATGAGTTTAGGGTTTCTTTTTAATAATATATTCACAAAGGCTGTTGTACCAATGTACCCTATACCCTATAACTATACTTTAATATATACAATTCATTTGCATATAATTAGCTACTATACTCGTTAAAATTGAAAAGTTTAAACTTTTATTAATAGAAAATCCCCAAATGCATTATTATAACGGTACGTATGGATTTCGAAAGTTATTTATTTGATTTTACTTACACGATGATTTTTTTTTTGTTTAACAATTTTAGAATTATGTGAACAAACAACCCATGGACAAGTCTTCCATATTTATTTTACAAATATAAATATTGTTTTTTTATGTAGTGCTTATATTAGTACTCTTGATAACGAAATAAATCAAATAAAGCAAATACACTTTTTATTTATTTTTTTCGATATCACAAGCATATATAATATAATATATTTACTATAAAGTTAATAACATATTTGTCTTTCCTGTTATAGGTTTAAGTTTCATCAGGTTATAAAATCAAAAAAAAAAAAAAACAATAAAGTAAATGTAAACAACAAAATAAAAGTAGGTATTATAGACTGCATTATATTAAGTCACGGTATACAGATAGTTTGTTTTGCTGATCTGTCATCTTAAAATAATTATTGTCGGAAGTGGAGTGAAGTGGCGGAATAAACCTCTTCAGGACACACTATACTTTTGAATGTTGATACTAGATAGTATATTTGTATAATAGTAGACATAATATTTCCTGTAATAATAATAGGTGTATTTTGGCGTTTAATCTGGTTATAATATTCATTATCAATTATGATTGTATGATTTTTGTTAATGATTATAGATTCGCAAAAACGACATGTTTATGGTTATTCCAAATAATATTAATTCATAATCAAAAAGAGTACTGGCAAGATATCTAATCATTATTTTATCAATAACTAAAAATCATAACCGTTCATTTTGTTATGATATCTAAGTAAATTATAAGTTATAACCAACGGAATAACCAAAATGACTTATTTATAAAATACAGTATAGGTATAGTCAGGTTGAATTTGGTTATTCGCTAAAACATGCCTAATAATAATGATATTATGTCTATTTACTTGGGGTTTGGGTGTGTATGAAAATCACGGGGAAATTCGGACGAAAAATTAATTACCTTTGATTGCTGTGAACCGATAAAAATATAGCGAATTGACGGTGCCGCAGGTGTATCTTCAGAAGGTGTACACTTTGCCCGAGTGAATATGATTGAAAAGTACAAATGCTGACTTGTTCGGTGCGGTTTTTGGTGTATTCCCGGTGTTGCTCTTATACAACATGTGTGTATACATATACACAGACGCTCATTTTTCCTACACTTACTGCGGACACGCTGAAATATACTATGGTATAATAATAAATACAATAATATTATATGATCGAGAGTGCTCGAGTGGAAGTGCGAGTGCGCCGATGCGATTGATGCGTGCCTATTGAACAAGAAAAAAAACATTATCTATACTTAATACTAAATATGAACACCGACGATTAGAACCTATATGTATTATATAATCGTCGTCGTTATTAAATCCGTTCGAATTTATACTTTATGATAAAATATAAGTATTATTTGTACCTTAATGAATAATCTTGAAAACAACGTGAAAAAAAATTTTACCACTTTTAAACATTGATATTGATAAAAAATAAAATCATAATATTATGTAATGTCATATGTTATACATTTATAATAACAATATTAGTTATAATTTGAACTAATAAATGTGTAGGTGCCTTAATTATTGTGGGATTACGAGATTATGGGTTTGAGGCACCGTGCGTAATTATATTTTGAGGTCAAGTATTTACGTAGATTTAATTTAATTAAATAACCTATATGTAGACATTAAATAACCATTGTAAATAGTATTAGGTACAATTTGGAGTACCTATACTAAACAAAATGATTTCCTTAGCTGTCCTACTTCATATTTATTATGTTATCTATAAACTTTAAAATTTTCATGAATATTATACATTTTTGATTTAATGACTGATACTTATTCTTAGTAATTTCCGGAAAATTATTTTGTGTTGTAAAATCTATAGTTGAAGTTTGGTTAAATTAGGGGTGCATTATACCTCGAACTTTTTTTTTCTTGTTTTAATCGAGAGAAATGAAGGATCTGTTTTCAAAATACTTCTGCTGCCATCGTTTATTGTATTTTAACTGTAAATATATACCACTCGAATATGACTGATTATTGCACCAATGATGCAGGTTTTTTTCTATTCGATTTCGTTAAAGAGTGATTTTGGCAAAAAAATGTACATATCTGGTCGTTGTACCAAGGTCTTCAATTTTTGTTTAAAATTTGCTTAACTCTAAAGATGTGTTTGAAATAAGTCAATTATAATATATTATTTTAATCACCATGTTGCAGTTATTAGATATTGCGTGTCAATTATAATTTATTTAAGAAATTTGTTTCTAATATTTAGTACGACCTTTGTATTTTTATTTTATAGCTACATTGTAACTAAATCGTTATTACAATAATTTAAATAGGTTGAATTGTTTATCAATTTTTGACCTTTTATCGGTATGTTATTGAATATTTTATCAAAAGAAAGCAATAGGTCTAAACTTATGCTTAAACCTTTTTAATTCATAATGATATATAATATAATTAACCGTAGAGAATGCGTGTAAGGAAGGTTTTTTCTTTCGTTTTCTACACTGTAACAATTAATTAAAAACCCATACTGATAAACTACAAAGTACATGTTGATAAATGAAACACGTATTATTTATAACATAATATTAGGTATGTACATTGTACAGAATATAAGTCAATAACCAGCGGTAATTATAATTTTTTGAAAAATATTATAAGTTAATATTGTTTTCGATTTTGGTTTCGTTACAATACGTGTGGCCTACTTATACTGTTATTGGTACATGATTAGAATTGGTACCATAACAATATAATAAAATATTTTTATAAATAATTAATAATCGTTTACTTTAAATGCGACGGCGCTGGTTGGCCGAGAAAATCGTCAAGGTAAGCATGGCGGCGCGTGTCAAAAGTATGACCCCCATCCGATGACAAGGGTATCGGTTCGATCGATTGAAAGTGCCGAAAAACGATGGGTGTCGCCAAAGTTCTTTGTGTCTTCCAGAACGTGGCCGTCATTTATGTACTCATAAAATATACACTTAAAAGACCCCAGCGAAGGATCTTATTTTCACGTAGTTGTAATAAGATAAGTTACGAACATAATACATTGTGAACAGATATAAAATGTACAGTTTGTAACTAAACTAATTAGTTAGGTATTTAAATTTATTTTTTCGTACGACCGAATAATGTGATAAAGATTCACCTTTTTTTTTTCTCTTTAAAATACAAATTAATTAATAAATGTATTGAAATAATTAAGTCGATTTTAAAATTTAGAAATCCGAGGAAGTAATTTTAAGCCAACTTAAAATATACAAACTTACTACTCATTGTGTGTGTATTTTTCGTTCCCCGTTATATGTTAAAGTTTAAAATTAATTAGTTCATTATTAATATTAATACATCTACGGTTGTAAGAACCGTATCGGTTCAGTGTATTTGATATAAGATTTCGCTTATTTTTTAGTGGGTAATTATTTTTGAAATAACATACGTGGTAACGTTATAACCATGCATGTTAAAAATGTATCGTTTTGTGTTATGTACAAATGTGTATATATACGTGGCTTGATGCAATAGAATGTTAAATATTAAAATAAAGTGTCTGTTACACATTAAATAGCTTCACCGAGAACCAATTTAATGTAACA